CCCAGATGGCTTCACGATCCACTGTAGTAAACTGGCTCAGAGGCAGGTGTTCTTCAGAGCCACCTTCTGGAAGCTCAGGCACCCCACAAGCTTCTTTGAAAGAGGGTTTCTTTCTGTTAAACCAACGATGCAAGTCCTCTGAAAATCACAAAATGACAAATGATCTTAGAACAGAAGGGTTGGTGATGATAAATTGGCTTTGGGGAGAACTTTGTCTCAAAGCCAGACAGAAAGATCAATATTAATATAATTCCCACAAGGAACTATACCAGAGTCTAGATTATATTATGGACAAAAGGTAGAGACACAAGAAAGTGAACAGGTTTTTAAGACTCTCCAAGGGACTGGATAATCTAGTTTTATTATCACAGAAATTTTAAGTTATCACAACTTTTGTGGGGCACAATCTGAAAAAGTGCACGATTTTGTCCCAGCAATTCCCTTTCCAGAAATGTACCTCACAGAGATGTCAGCATAAGGTTTCCAAGCTATGAGGATGAGGGTTTTCATACAGTAAACTGAAGATCCACAGCAAGGGGCTCAATGAACAAAATGAATACATACGACGGACTACTGTTCGGGGTTTAAGACACGCATTTCTACGTACCGATAAGAGCAAAGGTTGAAGTGGCTCAAGCAGTAAGAATGCCTGCTTAGTTAAGCATGAAGCCCTGAGTTTAAACCCTAGTACCATCTAAAAAAAAAAAAAAAAGAATGTAAAAAAACACCTTGAAACAGAGAGAGCTCTCGGTCTCCTGCTTCTCCTTTCCACCTGGACCACCACGGCCTTTAGACTGGTGGAGTGGCTCAAGTGGTAAGCACCTACCTGGCAAGTGTTGAGGCCCTGAGTTCACAAAACAAAGAGCAACACACAGGACATATTAGGTTAAAGCTGCATAACAGTCTGTACAGAATGAGCCCACCTAGGGAAGTCTCTGTAATTCAGAGCTACAGGGTATCCGCTATACCATTAACAGTACCGAGCTCCATCAACTGGCACTTCCAGGACCTCTACTCAGGCCTTTGCTTCCTCATTATTCTATTTTTTTTTATCATATTTACATTTACTCACATGTGGATACACTGTTTGGCTCGCCCCCCCACCAGGCAGAACCTAAACATTAGCATTTCTGTTGTCAGAAAATAGACACTGCTTTTAAATATTCAATTCTCTTTTAAACAATTTGAAAGCCACAAGTGTTTGACATTTCCAACCCCCCCACACACACTCTTTGTTCTCTGCTGTATTTCCAAAACTCTGAAATGGTCAACAGACCCTAGAATGACATTTCTTCAGGCTCCTGCTTAAAACCAACAGCTTCACAAACTGTCGGCCTTGATTCAGGGCCATCCAAACATTCTAATAAGTAGCTGTCAACAAATCTGTGCAACACATCCATGTTTATTGCGGCACTATTCACAATAGCCAAGTTATGGAAACAGCCAAGATGCCCCACCACTGACGAATGGATTAAGAAAATGTGGTATCTATACACAATGGAATTTTATGCAGCCATGAAGAAGAACGAAATGTTATCATTCGCTGGTAAATGGATGGAATTGGAGAACATCATTCTGAGTGAGGTTAGCCTGGCCCAAAAGACCAAAAATCGTATGTTCTCCCTCATATGTGGACATTAGATCAAGGGCAAACACAACAAGGGGATTGGACTATGAGCACATGATAAAAGCGAGAGCACACAAGGGAGGGGTGAGGATAGGTAAGACACCTAAAAAACTAGCTAGCATTTGTTGCCCTTAATGCAGAGAAACTAAAGCAGATACCTTAAAGCAACTGAGGCCAATAGGAAAAGGGGACCAGGTACTAGAGAAAAGGTTAGATCAAAAAGAATTAACCTAGAAGGTAACACCCACGCACAGGAAATCAATGTGAGTCAATGCCCTGTATAGCTATCTTTATCTCAACCAGCAAAACCCCTTGTTCCTTCCTATTATTGCTTATACTCTCTCTACAACAAAATTAGAGATAAGGGCAAAATAGTTTCTGCTGGGTATTGGGGGGGGAGCGGGAGGGGGTGGAGTGGGTGGTAAGGGAGGGGGTGGGGGCAGGGGGGAGAAATAAACCAAGCCTTGTATGCACATATGAATAATAAAAGAAAAATGAAAAAAAAAAAAACAAATCTGTGCAACAAACATTAGCAAGAATCAGAATAGGAGGAAGAATAAGATATTAGAAATTGATGATCTGCTTGAGGCACAGGTCAGGTATCTTCAATCATCGACTTTGCTCTGACATGAACTTGGGATCAACAATCCAGTATCAAGGTTTATGTAGATTTCTTTTCTTTCCTTATTTCTATATATATTGTTTTAAATTCATATTAAAAATGCCTGTGGAAGTTTGGTGAACCAGGAGGTTTACTTCTGCCTTTCTGGTAACCTGATCACCAAGATTGAACAGTTGCAAAGAACCTTAAAGAGCAGAGAAAAGTACTTTACCTTGTAGTTGAAGGTTATAAGTTATTTTTATAGAGACAGTACAACTGATCTGATTATATGCAAATTTCAACATTTTCAGTCATTCATACCAGAAGGCCACCTAAAATACCCCAACCCTAGATGCAGGCAGCAGATCAGGTAGAAGTGCTACCCAGCAAATCTACCTAACCATGGAGTCCAGACACACAGTTGCCACTCTTCTTTCTCTCTGCTCTAGGCAGGGCAAGGGTCAGCTTTGGGGATATCTGCAGAGATGCTCAGAGATGCTCTCCTCATACCTCAGATACACTTGCATAGTTTGTCTAGCTGCAGAATCAAGAATCTTGATTTTTTTATTCAAACATGGTCTAATTTAAAAAATTAACTGACAAATAATAAGTATATATATTTATGGGATATAATGTGTTACCTTAATACATGTATTCATATGGAATGATTAAATGAAATGAATTAACAGATCTCACCTCACTTAACCATATTTTTTATGGTAAAAACATTTAAAAACTATTCCTAAGCAAATGGGAGGAGGGAGGGGAAAGGGGAGATGTGCTCAATGAGTGCAAAAGTTCACTTAGAATGGGGGGTGGGTATGGATAAGTTTTAGTGAGTCACTGCATGGCATAGTGACCACAGTTAATAATATATTGTATATTTCGAATTTTTCCTTTTTGTAACAAAAATCATGTTTTTTTCAGTGAAAATACCAATCCACTAACTAGTAGTTCTAAATGCTAGTTCCTGTGGTCCTTAGGTTTTCCTAGTACCCTAGAAGTTCACAAGGTAGTAAAACTGCCAGTGGGTCTAAGTCCTTTAATTGTGACAAGAGCAACTGAGAGCCCCCCTCCATGCAGGGGACCCTGGGCAGACTGCTCACCAGCTGAGTTCTCCTGCTTGAGGCAGTGAATAGAGGTCCTCTGGGTTTTGGGCTGGAGCAGCAGCAGGAGCACAGGTTCAAGGATGCGCGCCACATCCCCGAGGGAGAGAGCGCGCACCAGCCAGCACTGGGCCGCGGCACTGATGGCACCATCCGTGCAGGCCAGGCTGTCCAGCACAACAAACAAGGACCTGTGGGTGGAAAGATACCACTAAGTCCATGCTCTGCCACTCCTGTGTGCCGGGCACTGTCATATACACTGGGCATGTGGTGTCAAGCACCATGGACACCCCAGAAAGCTTCACTAAGCTGGGCTTACAGATGCAAGCAGACAACAGTAAGAGACTCACCACCTTGGTTTCTCATTAGAACCATGAGGGAACTTTTAAAACCCCAATGCCCAAGATTCACCCCAAATTGACTACATGTGACTCTGGCAGGGGGGAGGGTCTGAAATCTCTCTTAGGCTATGTGCCTTGGCCTCACAACTACTTTCCGAGAGATGGTGGAAAAAACACCGTGGAATAGAATGTTACCAGCGATAACATCCTACTGTCGAGCACGTGGTCAATGGTGTGGCAAGTGCGTGCCATAGTATAGGTAGCACCACAATTGAGGTCAGACCATCTACATCTCCCTAGACAGCTCTCCCATTGCGAGAAGTCGCAAGATCCACAGGTGATTCTGAGCAGCTGGGCGACTTTTCTCTCTACTAAACTAAGAACATTCCTGACATGTACTCATATATTTCCAAGTCTAGATTCAGTTAGAGGACCACAGAAGCATCATGCACACCTTGGAGATCATGTACAGGAGTCATGGCTCACATATACAGTCCTGATTTCAATATCACCCATCTCCCTCCCCAGACCCACAGCCTGACCAGGAGCCTCTGCAAAGCTTCCTCTCTCAAAAAGCAATGGATCACAATGAAGAACTGCCTCACCTATCAAAGGAGCGATTGTGGGATGATACACGAGTGCCTTGGATCTCCCTCGTCAGGTGCCAGATCACAGAAAATCTAAACAGAGCCTCCAACCTTGTTCCCTTGAGTAGGAAATAAACAGGTATAAGGAACTTGGTTTCATAGTAGAATGCAGCTTTTTTCAGTCACAAGGAACTCCATTTAAATAGAAAATGAATGCTGTCAAGAACCACAGCCAAGATGCTATATTTTCATGTGGGACTTGGCCAGAAGGAAAAGGAAAACCTGCTTCTCTTGCTCTCCTTACCAGAGATGCACATTTAGTGAAGTACATGAGACTCAGTGTTATTTGGTGTATAGGGTCACTCCTGAGGCCTGTGGTCCAAACAAAAAAAAGTATGGCTTCCTCATGTCCCTTGGAAGTACCAGGCCAGGGCCCATAAAGAATGAGGATGAATTGGTCAGTCAACTCTCAGAAAATTCTTACAGGGACAATAAATTCTCTACCACTATCCACACTGCCAATACCTCTGGAAGCGCCCTCCAACAGGGAGTTGAGGCGGATTTTGCTGGTAAGATTTCATAAGGATACAAACATATTTTCAGGACTCTAAAGGGAATAGTTTGAGCTCTCAGAGGTATCCCAGACCTGAACTTATAAAAGCACTTCTGCTCATGAATCAGGATGGATGTACATTGAGCCCCAGAGAGACTACACTTGGGTATGTGCAAGCCTGCCCTGGGCATGAAAAGCAAGGCTGGCCCAGCAGCCAAGGTGGTGGCAGGATGGAAGATGCAGTGGAAGGCTCACCTTGTCAGGGTCCAGGAGGGCATGGCAGATGATGTCTTCGCAGATGTTGGCCGTTGGGGCCAGGCAGTGCAGCCTGTAGAACAGCTCTACACAGGTGATGTGATGCTCCCGGGTCTCCTTGTTCAGTTGATTCCAAAGCACATGAGCCACTCTCTGCAAGGGAAAGGGGGCAGGGACCATGTAAGCACAGGCAACACCTGCTCCTTCCTTCCTCATATAAGGCTAATCCCAGCCCCACTGTCCTATCTTTTACCTAAGTTTGCTAAGTGAGAATCCTTAACACCCAGAGATACATAACCAATACATAAGACAAAGCAAAAACCCCACCAGGAGTCATCTAGACCTTGGGCAGCATCACAGGTTAAACTCAGAGGTTTCTGACCCGGGAGGAACAAGATGGCTCTTGCCTAGACCATCTCTCTCAGGAGGGGAAGCAACCAGAGAAGAGACCTGAGCAGTTGAAGCTTTCTTTCAATAAGATGGCACCAAGCCTCAGCCTTTTGGGGGAGACACAGTTGTATACTCCAGGGAGTTTGGTGGGTTTGCAGGGGTCACTGCATCTGTCCAGTGTACAGTTAAACACACAGCACTTCATCACCTCTACAGTTTGTTCCAAACTCATGTAGTGTTGATGAAGAGTCATATTTTCCAGTGTTAATTCCACAAACCTGTTTCTTTCTCCATGCACAGAGGGCTGTCTCTCAGTATATAAATTACACCCCAAGTTGAGCTATTTTCCTGGTCTGATCTTTGCTCTTTAAACATGTGTGCTCTGCAGCCCCTCCACACATCCTAGGGAGTATGCGCATGGGTGCCTGACCAAAGTAGGGCTGGTTCTCACTTCCAGGAGTGCAGTTTCTGAAGGTACTGTTCTAGATCATGGAAAACATTACAATTTCATAGACCATAATATTTCAGGCATACCTGACCACACATTTTTTTGGTCCATTTAATCCTATCCTATCCTAAACTGTCTTCCCTGTGATACCTGCACAGATCAAGTTAAAGGTTAACAAGCTAAAGTCCCTACCCATCATTTTATTATTGCCAGGTAGAGTAATTTCCAATGATCAAGTTACATTTAAACTTCTGATGCATGCTCACTCCTATAACTAGCTACTCAGGAGGTAGAGGTCAGGAGGATTTCCTTTTGAAGCAAGCCTGGACAAATAGTTTGAGAGACCCTACCTTGAAAATATCCAGAGGATTCCAAGATGGCGGCTAGAGCGAAGAAGCAGAAAGAGTGCCTCTTAAAGTAAAATCTTGGAGAGACACTGGAGATAACACCTTACAGGCAAAACCACCGAGAAGAGGCAAAACTCTGACTCCTCCACACCTCCAGCCTGCGCAGAGCATCTTCACTTCACATTAAACCGAGAAACCAGGAGGGCCCCCGGGCCAACACCAGACACCGGCACCCAGATGGCTTGGGAAGACGCAGACCACAAGGTGAGCTAAGCGGTATGTGGTACTCCCACAGACAAACCTGGGCCAGATCAGCATAGCCCCCTGGACAGACTGACCCCCACCCAGGGAAAAAAAAAGAGAAACTGAGTAATAAGCACTAAGAAAAACAAAGACACATAGCAAAGAGGGTAGGGCACCCTGAGTGCTGAAGAGGAGGGGACGGGGATCCCTCACAGAACTGTAAGTATACAAGCTGGCCAGAGAAGGCAGGAGCAGTGGTGCGCGCCAAGCAACCAGGAGCAGGAAAGCTTGTAAAAGTGGCAGAGGGAGGAAAACTCCACAGGAGAGGGGGGAAGACCCACTTCCCACGTGAGCTATAAACAAACATGCAGGCCTGAGAAAGCGGGTGCAGTGTCACCTCCCCCAGGGTGCTTGGAAAGGGGAAAGCTTGTAGCAGTGGCTTGCACACAGGAGAACTCTGAGTAAACAAAGCCTGTGGGGCCAGGTGAGTGCTAAGCTCACTCCTGAGATCTGCATAAATAACACCACTAGCAACAGCAGGCTGACAGCAGCGGGCAGGCAAGCCACAGCTACAGATAGACATTCACAGAACTGTCTACAGACTTTTTTTTTTTCTCTCTCCCTACCTTTGATGAGACAACAACCGAACTACGCCTGCATGCTGAAAAACTTACTGAAACTGTGTTGCATTTGAACTTGGGTCACTTTGTGGGGTTTTTTTTTTGTTTTGTGCAATTTTGTTTTATTTTATTTCTCTTCTTTGATGAAACAACTACAGAACAACATCTGAGGCACCATCTCCAGGATTGGAGGCTGAGGGATGAACACCAAAATAATTAAGACTGAAATTTTATTCCATATGAACATGAGATTTTTATATATATTTTTTTTTTCATTTATTTATTTTTTATTGTTTATTTTCAATCCTCTACCACTCTAATGCCTTTTCAGCTTATGGTTGATTAGTACACTGTCTCTCCCTGTTTATATCTTTGAAACTTCTTTTGTTTGTTTCTTTGTTTTGTTTTTTTCTACTTGTTTATTTGTTTTTCCCTTTTCCTATAACTTCTTTGCTTTCTATCTCCTCTTACCCTTCAATTCTAAATATCACTAGTGCTATTATTATGAGCCAGAAAATACTTAATTGCACACAGTACAGGGACAATAACAACACCAAGGGCAATGACAGGAAGACAGAAAAAACAGGGAAATCAGTTTCCTCACAGCAAAAGATTAGTACAGGAACCAGAGGGAAATGAAGAAAACAGATACTCAGACCCAGACTCCAACAAAATGAAGATAAACTATGCCAAAGAACCCAATGAAGCCCACAAGAATAATATAAAAGAAGAAATACTACAGGTACTCAATGAGAATTTTATAGAGATAATACCAACTCTATCAAAAGACCAAACCTGAGAATCATGGGCATCGAAAAAGGAGAAGAGGTGCATGGAAAGGGAATGTGTAATATATTAAACAAAATAATAACAGAAAAGTTCCCAAATCTAGAGAAAGCTATTCCCATACAGATGCAAGAGGCCTCCAGAACACCAAACAGACCAGATCAAAATAGAACTACCCCACGACATATCATCATTAAAACAACAAGTTCAGAAACTAGGGAAAGAATATTGAAGGCTGTAAGAGAGAAAAAACAAATAACATACAAAGGTAAACCCATCAAAATCACAGCAGACTTCTCAACAGAAACATTAAAAGCAAGAAGAGCTTGGGGAGAGATCTTCCGGGCACTGAATAAAAATAACTTCAACCCCAGGATACTCTACCCAGCAAAACCATCATTCAAAATAGATGGAGCAATAAAAGTCTTCCATGATAAGCAGAAACTAAAACAATATGTGACCACAAAGCCACCACTACAAAAGATTCTTCAAGGGATTCTGCACACAGAAAGTGAAACCCAACATAACCATGAAAGGACAGGCAGCACCAAATTACAGGAAAAGAAAAAGCAAGAAAGTAGAGAGTAACCTCAACTTAGGTACACACAATCAAACCTTCAAACAACTAAGACAACTAAATGACAGGAATCACCACATACCTATCAGTACTAACACTTAATGTTAATGGACTTAATTCACCCATCAAAAGGCACTTGACAAAATGGATTAAAAAGGAAGATCCAACAATTTGTTGCTTACAGGAGACCCATCTCACTGACAGAAATAAGCATAGGCTTAGGATGAAAGGCTGGAAGATTTACCAAGCCAATGGCCCCCAAAAACAGGCAGGAGTAGCAATACTTATCTCTGACAAAGTAGACTTCAAACCTACATTGATCAAACGAGATAAAGAAGGACATTCCATACTAATACAAGGGGAAATAGACCAAAAGGAAATAACAATTATCAACCTATATGCACCCAATGTCAACGCACCCAATTTCATCAAACATACCCTGAAAGACCTAAAAGCATATATTAACTCCAACACAGTGGTTGTAGGAGACTTTAACACCCCATTATCATCAATAGATAGGTCATCCAAACAAAAATCAATAAAGAAATCAAGATCTAAAATATACAATAGATCAAATGGACCTATTGATGTCTACAGAACATTTCATCCAACTTCTACACAATATACATTCTTCTCAGCAGCCCATGGAACCTTCTCCAAAATAGATCATATCCTAGGGCACAAAGCAAGCCTCAGCAAATATAAGAAAATAGAAATTATACCATGCATACTATTGATCACAATGCAATAAAACTAGAACTCAACAACAAAAGTAAAGACAAAAAACATGCAAACAGCTGGAAACTAAATAACTCATTACTTAATGAACAATGGGTCATTGATGAAATAAAAGAGGAAATTAAAAAGTTCCTGGAAGTCAATGAACATGAAAAAAACAACCTACCGGAACCTATGGGACACAGCAAAGGCAGTCCTGAGAGGAAAGTTTATAGCCATGAGTGCATATATTAAAAAGACTGAAAGATCCCAAATCAATGACCTAATGATACATCTCAAACTCCTAGAAAAACAAGAACAAGCAAATCCCAAAACAAACAGAAGGAGAGAAATAATAAAAATAAGAGCTGAAATCAACAAAATAGAAACCAAAAAAACCATATGAAGAATTAATGAAACAAAAAGTTGGTTCTTTGAAAAAATAAACAAGATCAATAGACCCCTGGCAAACCTGACTAAAATGAGGAGAGAAAAAACCCAAATTAGTAGAATCAGGAATGCAAAAGGGGAGATAACAACAAACACCATGGAAGTCCAGGAAATCATCAGAGACTACTTTGAGAACCTATATTCAAATAAATTTGAAAATCTTAAAGAAATGGACAGATTTCTAGATACATATGATCATCCAAAACTGAACCAAGAGGAAATTAATCACCTGAATAGATCTATAACACAAAATGAAATTGAAGCAGCAATCAAGAGTCTCCCCAAAAAGAAAAGTCCAGGACCTGATGGATTCTCTGCTGAATTCTATCAGACCTTTAAAGAACTGATACCAACCCTCCTTAAACTGTTCCACGAAATAGAAAGGGAAGGAAAACTGCCAAGCACATTTTATGAAGCCAGTATTACACTTGTCCCAAAACCAGGCAAAGACACCTCCAAAAAGGAGAACTATAGGCCAATCTCCGTAATGAACACTGATGCAAAAATCCTCAACAAAATAATGATAAACCGAATTCAACAACACATCAAAAAGATTATTCACCACAACCAAGTAGGCTTCATCCCAGGAATGCAGGGGCGGTTCAATAAACCAATAAATAAACGTAATAAACCACATTAACAAAAGCAAAGACAAAAACCACTTGATCATCTCAATAGATGCAGAAAAAGCCTCTGATAAGATCCAACACCATTTCATGATAAAAGCTCTAAGAAAACTAGGAATAGAAGGAAAGTACCTCAACATTATAAAAGCTACATATGACAAACCTACAGCCAGCATTATACTTAACGGAGAAAAACTGAAACCATTCCCTCTAAAATCAGGAACTAGACAAGGATGCCCACTATCTCTACTCCTATTCAACATAGTACTGGAATTCCTAGCCAGAGCAATTAGGCAAGAAGAAGGAATAAAAGGAATACAAATAGGTAAAGAAACTGTCAAAATATCCCTATTTGCAGACACATGATCCTATACCTTAAAGACCCAAAAAACTCTACTCAGAAGCTTCTAGACATCATCAATAGCTATAGCAAGGTAGCAGGATATAAAATCAACATAGAAAAATCATTAGCATTTCTATACACTAAAATGAACAAACTGAAAAAGAATATATGAAAACAATTCCATTTACAATAGCCTCAAAAAAATCAAATACCTAGGTGTAAACCTAACAAAGATGTGAAAGACCTCTACAAGGAAAACTATAAACTTCTGAAGAAAGAGATTGAGGAAGACTGTAGAAAGTGGAGAGATCTCCCATGCTCAGGGATTGGTAGAATCAATATAGTAAAAATGTCTATACTCCCAAAAGTAATCTACATGTTTAATGCAATTCCCATCAAAATTCCAATGACATTCATTAAAGAGATTGAAAAATCTACTGTTAAATTTATATGGAAACACAAGAGGCCATGAATAGCCAAGGCAATACTCAGTCAAAAGAACAATTCTGGAGGTATCACAATACCTGACTTCAAACTGTATTACAAAGCAGTAACAGTAAAAACAGCATGGCACTGGCACAAAAACAGACATGAAGACCAGTGGAACAGAATAGAGGACCCAGATATGAAGCCATAGAACTATAATCAACTTGTCTTTGACAAAGGGACTAAAAATATATGATGGAGAAAAGCAGCCTCTTCAACAAAAACTGCTGGGAAAACTGGTTAGCAGTCTGCAAAAAACTGAAACTAGATCCATGTATATCACCCTATACCAAGATTAACTCAAAATGGATCAAGGATCTTAATATCAGACCACAAACTCTAAAGTTCATACAGGAAAAAGAAGGAAATACTCTGGAATTAGTAGGTATAGGTAAGAACTTTCTCAATGGAACCCCAGCAGCTCAGCAACTAAGAGATAGCATAGATAAATGGGACTAAAAAGCTTCTGTTCATCAAAAGAAATGGTCTCTAAACTGAAGAGAACACCCACAGAGTGGGAGAAAATATTTGCCAGCTACACATCAGACAAAGGACTGATAACCAGAATATATAGGGAATTTAAAAAACTAAATTCTCCCAAAACTAATGAACCAATAAAGAAATGGGCAAGTGAACTAAACAGAACTTTCTCAAAAGAAGAAATTCAAATGGCCAAAAACCACATGAAAAAATGCTCACCATCTCAAGCAATAAAGGAAATGCAAATTAAAACCACACTAAGATTCCACCTCACCCGTTAGAATAGCCATCATTAGCAACACCACCAACAACAGGTGTTGGTGAGGATGCAGGGAAAAAGGAATCCTCTTATGCTGTTGGTGGGAATGTAAACTAGTACAACCACTCTGGAAAAAAATTTGGATGCTACTTAAAAAGCTAGACATTGATCTACCATTTGATCCAGCAATACCACTCTTGGGGATATACCCAAAAGACTGTGACACAGGTTACTCCAGAGGCACCTGCACACCCATGTTTATTGCGGCACTATTCACAATAGCCAAGTTATGGAAACAGCCAAGATGCCCCACTACTGACGAATGGATCAAGAAAATGTAGAATGGAATTTTATGCAGCCATGAAGAAGAACGAAATGTTATCATTCACTGGTAAATGGATGGAATTGGAGAACATCATTCTGAGTGAGGTTAGCCTGGCCCAAAAGACCAAAAATCATATGTTCTCTCTTATATGAGGACATTAGATCAAGGGCAATCACAACAAGGGGACTGGACTTTGAGCACATGATAAAAGCGAGAGCACACAAGGGAGGGGTGAGGATAGGTAAGACACCTAAAAAATTAGTTAGCATTTGTTGCCCTCAACGCAGAGAGACTAAAGCAGATACCTTAAAAGCAACTGAGGCCAATAGGAGAAGGGGACCAGGAACTAGAGAAAAGGTTAGATCAAAAAGAATTAACCTAGAAGGTAACACACACGCACAGGAAATTAATGTGAGTCAACTCCCTGTATAGCTATCCTTATCTCAACCAGCAAAAACCCTTGTTCCTTCCTATTATTGCTTATACTCCCTCTTCAACAAAATTAGAGATAAGTACAAAATAGTTTCTGCCGGGTAGCGAGGGGGTGGGGGGGGAGAGGGAGGGGGTGGGGCGGGTTCTAAGGGAGGGGGTGGGGGCAGGGGGGAGAAATGACCCAATCATTGTATGCACATATGAACAATAAATAAATAAGAAATTGAATAAATAACTCTCTGAAATAAAAAAAAAAGAAAATATGCAACACAAAAAAGGGCTAGTGGAGTAGCTCAAGTAGTAGAGTCCCTCCAAGCAAGTGTGAGGCCCTGAGTTCAAACCCCAGTACCACAAAACTTCTTGACTGCGCAAAGGAGGCCCCTTCCTTGAAACCCCTGATGCTAATACATGCAAAAGATACTCCTTTTGGAAGGTTAAAATTTTGGGAGGGCGGCTGTTGAGAGTTGGTGTCAATAACTAAATCCACACACCTGCTCTGTCATAATGAAAGCCTCACTTTCTCCCAATGTGCTTCAGAATTCTGGTGCATGAGCTATTCCACAGCAGTAAGAAAAGGGCAAAGGCTCTGGAAACAGCTTCATCTGTCTGGGAAGCTGGTACACATCCTGGCTATCTGTGTTGGTGGCTATACTGTCCCTAGTTCCAGCATCTGTAACAAGGGCAGGCACTAGGCATGGCTGCCCAGCGCTCTGGGAGACTGGTTTTAGGACCCCTCATGGATGGCAAAGTCCTCAGATGCTTAAGTCTCTTTTAAAAATGTCCCAGTGCTACAGCATATGCTTAGCATGCACAAAGCCCGGGTTCATCTGTGCACCAGACAAAACAAAACGTCTAATATTTGCATATAACCTATCCAAATCCTCCCATATACTTTAAGTTATGTCTAGATTACTTCTAACACATAGTACGATGTCAATACTATGTAAATTGTTGTGTATTGTATTGTTTAGGGAATTAATAATAGAAAAACAATTTGTACAAGTTCAATACAGACACATTTTTTTCCCAAATACTTTCAATCTGTAGTTGCAGAACCTGCAGATCTGCAAGGCCAACTGTGCAGTATGCTCCACTGCCAACCAAAGAGAAGGTTCTCAGATACAGGCAACATCAAAATAAGATCAAAGCTTCAGAAAGAACGTGTAAAGGCATAGCTCACTTCCCAGAGCAAGAAGAAAAACGCTGCCATTTTTATTCTATAAATACCATTACAATGATTCACTGACTAAGTTCTTTCTTCTTTTCTTCCCTGTGCCTACAGTGTGATTCTATCAAACTCTGATCTATGAAGGACCAAGAGAAGACTCACTCAGTCCCTGATGCTTACAGGCCGCTTGTCCTGGTTCCAAGTTCTGCAGATTCAAGATCTACACTGTGACTGGCAGGAAGGGAAAAGGAGGATGTGGTGTCAACGCCAAAGAGAACCAAATACAGGCTCCCCAGAGGCCTTACATCGTAGACGGGGCCCCACTTCACAGAACCAAAGCTGAGCCGGAATGGAAGTGCATGGAGCCCTAAGGATCCTCTCTCAAACTACGCAACTATAACTGGTGACAACTACAAAATCACCCCAGCCATTTAGAGCCTTTGAAAATTATCCTAAGGGAGTTCAAAAAAAGAAGAAATACTTATTCCAGAAAATCTAGCCAGGTGTGGTGGTACACACCTGGAATCCCAGAAGGCTGAGGCAGGAGGAAAGCCAAGTTTGAGGCCAGCCTGGGTTACATATTAAGTTCCAGGCTGGGATGGTTTACATAACAAGACCCTGTCTCAAAGAAAAAAGAAAGAAAGAAAGAAGACTTTACTAAATTTTGGTAGAAGGAAGCAGCAAGATTCTGCAGCACTTGAGCCACCATCTGCTCCTTGTTCACTTCCTACCCTAGCTCAGAGTGATGGAAACTTGACTGTCCACTCCAGGTGGGTGTGAGCAAGAAGACAGGGTGCTCTGTTCCCCCAGCTCCCAGCCAAGGGCTTTTGCACCTCCCTGGGAAAGGCAGGTCACCAGGCTCTGCTCTGCAGAGGATCAATGCAGGTGAGCACAGGAGGGGTTGTGGGTTCCTTGCCTTCATCTAGTTCCAAATTATAGGCAGAGGCTCCACCCAGGCATAGCGGGTCAAGAATACTGGGACCCAGCTCCAGGGCAGAAATTATGCCAGGAGCCTGAAGCAGTGACAGAGCAGGTATTCCTGTGTCTCAAAGCAATCCTAAAGTGGCCACTGGAGCTGCATAGTCCTTATGCTAGTCAGTGATTCCAGTGTTAGGGACTGGCCTTAAACAAATGGTCTGGGAAGAAGACCCCCACTCCACCTCACCCACCTCTTCCCAGGGCAAAATACCTGATAGAAGTCTGTTTTCTCTGCAATGACTTTCAAAATCCCTGGAGCAATTGGTGGGACGGTCACCATCTGCAGCTTGCCAAAGAATGGGTTGTGCCCTGAGTTTTTATAGCGCTTCATCTTGTCTTCAATGACAAGCGCAAGGGACTGGGAATGATTTGTCACCTCCAACAGCGTGGAGATGGCCACGTTCTGCAGGTAGCAGTCAGTCACACAGCAGCAAATGGTCATAAGGGATTTCAGCCACGGTGGAAAACTGGAATCACTGGCTCCTGAAAGGAAGCCAGCCAGAGAGGACAGAAACAAGCAAAACCACGTAAGAATGGTTTCCCAATTTACAGATTCCACAGCCCCACAGATCTGGGCAGTGACTTGAAAATCACCTGGACAGCAGTGTCTAACTTGTGGTGGTGACACTTATTTAAAAATAGGCTCTTTACAGATGTAATCTAGTTAAGATGAGGTCATCAGGGTGGCTCTAATCCAGTATAACTGGAAAATGCCACATGCAGACAGAGATTGGCTTGACTCAGCAGACAGCAAAAGAAGGCCAAGGATTGCTGGTTACCACTAGCAACTTGGAAGATGCAAGGCAGGACTCTACCCAGAATCCTCAGACAGCATGGCACAGCTGACTCCTTAAGTTTGGACTTCTGGCCTCTGGAACCATGCTTTGATAGTTTCTGTTGTTTAAGCCAATCAGCTTGTGATACCTTGTTACAGCAGCCTCAGCAAATCAGTATTTTGGTCACTAACAGGTAAGCATTCAACAGTCTATTTATGATGACTGCACACCTTCAATGTGCTGTGTTCTTCTGATGGGCTGTTCTAGATGTTCAAGGTTTAAAAATACAGACCCAGCCCTTACCAACTTGCCATATAATGATACCTAAGTCAAAAATGTACACAACCTCAATCCCTAGCACCAACCAACCAATTACAAAAGAAGGAAGGAAACAAAATTTGGCCAGTACAGGTTGAGTATCACTTAGCCAAAATACATGGGACTAGAAGTGTTTCAGATTTTGGAATTTTTATATTTTAGAATATTTGCAGAGAATTCACCAGTTGAGCATCACTAACCCAAAATGCTCCAAAATCACATGTGAGTGTTCAAAAAGATTTGGATTTCAGAGCAGTTTGGAACTGGGATTAGGGTGCTCCACCCGTAGCCCCTTCTTGGCTGACACAACCACCACCTCAGGATTGATTTCCAGCAATGGATGTGGCAGGGCTGCCTTCTCACCTGGAGTCTGGAAGAGTGTTTCACTGAGCTCTTCAGTCTCCTCCTCAGACAGGTAAACAGGGAAAGTGGCACAGTCCAGCAGCAGGTGGCAGGCAGCAGCAAAGGCCTCTCTGCATTCCTCCTTGGAGTCCCTTAGGTCAATGACTACCTTGTCAACATCCCATTCTCCTCCTGCTTTTCTGCCAGGGCTACTGTGCACAGATGACGATGACTCCGAACTTTTCATCTTAAATGGAGACCCGCGTGCCGTGAACAAGTCTGAAAGCATCTGCTTAAACTGGGGCACAGTGATGGGCTTGGCCTCCCATGAGTTCTTCCTGCTGGAGTCACTGCCTACCCCACTCTGTGTCCTGCTCTTGTTCCTATTTGCTGCAAGCTCTTCAGACTTGCTTTCTTCTCCAGACACTGTCAGCGGTACCACGAAAATGTTCTTACTGGCAAAGTTGGCAATTAGCTCCTGAATGCAAACAAATGTCCTCTGCATACTCCCACCCTTCTTCCAAACGTCGTCTCTTTCAGGAGAAACGCGAGGCACCCTCAGGTGCTTGGAGAGCTCTGGTGAAGAGGCACTGAGCCCGATCCCACTATCCTCAGATTTGAGTGGAGGGAAGGAAGCTTCTTCATCACCAGGAACCACAGCCTTTGTTTCCAAAATGGTATTGCTGTTTTCACCTTTTACTGGACTCTGCAAAACATGAAAAAATAATTGCATGTGCATCTCTTAAGACCAAGGGATTCACGTATCAGCTGACTCAGACAAACTATGAGTGCATTTTAAACCTGTTTTTCCAAATCATAACTCCCTACATCAAAAGAGTCCCACGAGACAGCACATTTGGGAGATATAGGAAGATGTAGAAAACCCAAAACATGAAAGCATTTGATGTCCCCACTCCAGAGGAACTAATACAGAAACCTTAAAACGACAAGTTATCACTATCAGGGGATCAGGAACCAATGTAAAGATCAGTTAGAGATGAATCAACTTGGGTTGTAACACATGGGTACATGAAAGCAATAGTAGGAATCTCTCTGTATAGCTATCCTTAACTCAGTTAGCAAAAACGCTTTGTCTTTCTTATTATGCTTATGTCTTCTCTTCAACAAAATCAGTCACAAGGGCAGAACGGGAACTGCCTGAAACTGAGGAGGGGAGGGGGGGGGAAGGGGGAGGAGGGCAGGGTGGAGAAATGACCCAAACAATGTATGCACATAATAAAAAATAAAAAATAAATTTTAAAAAAAGATATTAAATATATATATATATATATATATATATATATATATTTACACAATAGTTAGTGTATCATAAAGTAAAGGGGGAGGGGGCTGAGATAGGTGGGGCTCAAAGAAGGGGCTGGTGCGCCACCCTGCTCTGTGGGGATGCTGGCTTCTCAGCCTACTTTGTCTCATTTATTGAGACTCTCCAGTACTCAAAATAGCTATTTAAAACTTGTTTTTGACAAATTAAAAAACATGAATGAGGAAACTGAGCTAAGGATGAAATAAAGGCATTAAAAATAAGAGAAGAAAGCCAAGGCAAGAACAAAATTCAAACACAGGTAGAACATCCCTAATCTCTACATAGTGAAGCCCTGTCTGAAAAAAAAAAAAAAAAGGAAGATACCTTTATACTGTTCCTAAAATACTATTTGAATGAAAACCAAAGCAAGTGACAAGAGTATATGTTACAGGTTGAATTATGGTCCTAAGAAAGATGTTGAAGTCCTCACCTCCAGTATCCATGACCTTATTTGGAAATAGGGCAAATGATCAAGTTAAGATGGGGCCATTAGGGTGAGCCAGAATCCAATAGAACTCATGTTCTTATGAAAAGGGGGATCTGAACACCAGACAGACAGAGGGAGAAGACCATGGACATGGGTTCAGCAACTGGGTGATGCTTCCACAAACAGAAAACACAGGAGACTGCTGGCAAACCAGCAAAGCTCGAAAGGCTGGGAACACATCCTTCATCCATGGTGCACTTGGGAGTAATGCCTCACTGGCACCTTGTTATTGAACTCTGGAACTGTGAGAAAGTTGATTTCTTTGTTTTATTCACCTGGTCTGTGGAGCTTTGTCATGGCAGCCTAACAAATCAATCCAGTATGGACACTCATTTGTATTTTAAATTACCCAAATCACATGCATACGAACACATGGAAAGGTCTGGAAAGCTAGCTGTAAGAAACCAATGACTGTACTTAGGTAGCTATTAGCTGTATCTAACCATTACCTGGTTACCTGTATAGCTTCTCATTTGAATTGCTATCCCAACCAACCCCAATTACTTATCTCCCGACAGAAAGCATGAGAACACCTTGTCCTTGGGGCACATACCGAGTTCCCACTGGTGGGCTCTGTGTCTAGGTAGGACGGTGGCATCTGGACTTTGCTGAGCACTTTGAAACATGTCTTCAAGGCATGTGTGAGCTCAGGTAAGCTCAAGGCCTCCACCTGCTCAGCAAGAGGCTGCACAAGGCAGCCAAGTACCTGGGGGAGGTACTGGGTTTGCACCTCAGAGTAGAGCTCCTGTAAAATACAAGCGTGGGTTACTCACACATTGCTGGCTCACAATGGAAAAAAAAAATGCACCTCAAAATGGCACCCAGATAATTCTGGGTTTTAGAGCAAAAGTTTCACATTAATTCTCAAATCAGGAAACAAAATATTTCCTTTTGATATAGACAAATCAAGCATGTCTTCCTTTTCTTGTAAGTGGCTTTACCCTATCTAAGAAAAAATAAAACTACCACATGCATTTCTTTTCTGGCGGCTTAAACTCAGAACCTCATGCTTGCTGGGCAAGTGCTCTTACCATTTGAACCACTCCACTAGTCCTTTTTTATGATGGGTTTTTTAAAGATAGGGACTCACAAACTATTTACCCAGACTGGCTTTGAACCGTGATCATCCTGATCTCTGCCTCCTTAGTAGCTGTCTTAAAAAAAAAAAAAAAAAAGTCCCTTGAGAAAATTAGCCAACTGCATAATTTTAACTAGGAAATACATTTACTATCATCCCTAAATAACTGCATTATCATTTCATCATTTGACTTTGTTACTTCAGCTTGGCCCACTTGTAAGCCCAGAAGTTATAACCCCTTTTAAATGAGATTCAAAAACACAGGAAGGCTGGAGAATAGCTTAGGGATAAGGCAAGTGATTAGTGTGTACAAGGCCCTGGGTTCCATCTCCAGAATCAAGGAGGAAAAAAAGGCTGGGTCCATGGTGGCATATGCTTGCAATCCCAGCTGCTTGGGAGATAGACAGGAGAATCATAGCTGGAGGCCAGCCCAGACAAAATTAGTGAGACCCTTCTCAAAAAAAAGATTCTTTATTAAGTGGAATAAAATGGTACAACCACTTCACAGATAAATTTGGTTAAAATTTTATTGATTGATTGCTCTGCCACTGAGCTATATCCTCAACCTGTGGCTAAGATCTTAAATATCTTCTTGGGCTCAGGAAATTTATTCTAGTACAACCCACAGAAATTGTTAGAAAGGACACAAAGATCTATGCAGAAGATAGCATTTTCAGGCCATTTAAAAATACTTAAAAAGTGGAAACCACTTAAAAGTCAACTGAAAAGAAACTGGTCAATTAGTGCTAGGCATGGAGGCCCAGGCCTGTGATTCCAGCTACTCAGGAGGCAGAGGTGGGAGGACAGGGATCTGAGGTTAGCCTGAACAAAGAAAACAAAGCGGCATTGTGCATGTAGGTAAGGCAGTTTTCAGTAAGCTTGGGTCTATGTGGCAGGCCACAACACTAGCAAATGCAGCAGCACACTGAGCTACCTCGTCCCAGCACAGCACCCACCAGGGGAACGACGTCCAGGAGGAACACGAGGAGGGTGCAGAGCTCTGAGACTGTAGCAGGAAGACTGATGGGTTTTCCGATGGTGTTACTCTGCTTCACTGGCCTATATTAACCACAGGAAAGAAAACTAAGTTAATCCTTTCTTCTATAATCTCAAGTTTTTTGTTTGTTTGTTTGAGACAGGAACTTGCTATATAGTCCATGCTGGCCTTAAACCTGAGATCCTCCTGCCTCAGTCCCCCAAGTGCTTGGATTACAGGCATGCGCTACCATCCCTGGCTATAATTTACTACAAAGGAGCGTCGGTAAGTATCTTGAATCTGTCTCCAAAATGACCTCCCTCTATGTTGACCTCTGTTGGTCTCATGCCCAAAGAGATTCCACACCCAGCAGAACCCAACCTCAAACCAAAGGTACATTTGAAGGGAACAGCCCAGGCTGGAGGATGACCACACAGTCCAATCAGCCGTTCACTGCGCTGAGGAGCAGTCTGAAACACTTCCTCTCCCATGGGATACCCGGGAGTTCAGCAGCACTTGAGCTGCTTGGAATTCTGTAGTCTCTGCAGAGAAGAGCAAGTTCACTGAAGAGCTCTACTGTAGCTCTAATCTTCTACTGAAACAATTTTTTTTTTTGGGGTGGGATTTGATTTTGAACTCAAGGCTTGGTGCTTACAAAGTAGGCACTCACAAAGCAGGCACTCTACCTCTGAGCCACACCTCTAGTCCATTTTGCTCTGGTTATATTGGAGATGGGGATCTCATGAACTATTTGTCTGGGCTGACCTCAAACCTCAGTCCTCCCAAACTCAGCCTCCCAAGTAGCTAGGATTACAGGTGGAGCCACCAGATGCCAGCAACACTTCTTTACTAAGCAAACAACTAGATAAATAGCTATATTAAAAAGTACCTGCAGCTGGAGGCATGACTAAAGTGGTAGGGTGCTTGCCTAGTAAACATGAGGCCCTAAGTTCAAACCCTAGAACCACCAAAAAAAAGTAAAAGTATCATCAATCCAGGCTGGAGGTGTGGCTCAAATGGCACGGCACCCCCCTAGCAAGCATGAGTTCAAGCTCCAGGACTTCAGGAAAAAAATGTAGTCAACCCTCCGTATCTGTGGGTTCTACATCTGTGAATCTAATTAACCACAGATAAAAAGTTGTGCCTAAACATTGATACATTTTCCTTGTTATTATTCCCTAAACAATAAGCACAACTATTTATATAGCACTGGCATTGTATTAGGTGTAAGTAATCTAGAGATGGTTTAAAGTATATGGAAAATTGCTTCTTTGCCTTTGGCTAAGATCAAGTGTGGTGTCTTATGTTTATCAGTTTATCCTCTACCCGAGGACAATATATTAAATGGATTTGTGGAACAGGGAGATAGAATAGGAGTTTGCTCTGTCTACTCCACACATCAACCTAGTATTGTAGTACATCTAGGAATGGTGCACCCTTTAGGGGAATGGAGGGAGGAAGAGAGGAAGGAAGGAACTGGGAGAAAAAAATAAAGTACACATGAAGATGTGCACAGTTATATGCAAATGTAACCTTGTATATAAGGGACTGAAGTATTCTTGGACTTTGGTATCCAAGGTGATCCTGGAACCAATTCCCTGTAGACAGGGAGGGATGGCTGTGTGTAGGTTGTTAGAGCAACTTGGATTCATCTAGCTGTTATGCTACAATTTGACCGTAACAGCTGAGTTGATTTTCTTTCTTGTAAATCGGTGCTTAGTCATCTTAGAGTTCATTTAAGAAGAATTCCTGTGAAGAGCTACTTTTCAGTGTCTAAAGAGAGCTGTGCACGTGTGCACAAATAGGGCAAAGATGCTGACAAAGTACTAGTCACACGTGACAAGACTGAAATGGGGTCATCATAAACACAGTGGACTAAGTCTTACTGAAGATGAATGAACTGAATGCATATGTTGCAAGGCATCTCCAAAGGCCTGCTGTGAAAAAATACCTGACAGAAATGATTAATGGGAAACAATTTATTTTGGCTCACTGCTTCAGGGTTTAGTCTGTGATCTCTTTGGCCATCACTTTGGGTGGGACGAGAGGAAGAACATCATGGTGGCATGGGCTACTTACCTCGAGGCCAAAAGGAAACAGTGGGAGAGGAAGGGCTCAGGGCCCAGTATAGCCATCAAAGCCCTGCACCAAGTGACCACTTCTCCTAGTTACGCCCCACCTCCTAAAGTTTCCACCCCCCACAAATAGTGCCACTGGCTGGAAACCAAGCATTCCATACGAGCCTGTCATATTCAAACTGTAACAACTGTCACCCTACAGCACCTTACAAAAGGTTACGTATGGTGTAGTGTCATGTGAAATTCTAGCAGGCAACATAGCCTATCATGGACACACACTGTTATAATAGTGCAGAACAAGATCATGGGAAGGACAGACACTAACTTCAGGACAGAGATGAAAGGAGGGTGTGGCGTTGCGAAGGGGGAATTAGTTCTATCTGGGTAACATTTCATTCTGTTGCTGACCAAAGCACACTCTAAGCTCAGTATCACATGCCCTTGTTGTTGCCTATGTATACAATAACAATAAATTAGTTCAGCACAAGGGGAAGCCATTTGGCCTTGGTGCCAGGGGAGACAGACAAGGCATCAAGTAAGCAGCTGGGAAGCCAAGACTTCAAAAGTACTGTGTTCTAATTTTGGCTGTCTAACTAGTCTGCTGTACACTGCTAGACAAAGAACTTCATGTCTCTGGGCTCCAGTTTTCTTATAGGTCAAAAGCATAATAACTAAGTGCCTGCTTCTCTTGGGGTCCCAAAGAGTTAAAGTCAGGCTTTACAGTCACAGGACACACACTATGAGTGTTTATATGGAAAGTTGCTATTACAGCTCCCAAGCTTGTGAAGAATAGGGAGAAGCCAAACTACAGTGAAGACTAACAAGAAGGAAGTTTTACAGCTTGCCCCTCAAAGCTCAGGAGACTGAATTGTTCCTCCTATAAAGAACATGCAAGGGAAAGGCTCTCCCAGGAAGCCTACTGCCCCAAACATGCCATCCCCACCTCCCACATACACACACACAGCTTTGAAGTTGTGCAACTCATCACTAGATGAAAAGTGATAGAAAAGCTGATTACAGTAGCTTAAATCATTAGTGCTTTTACCTGACCTGTTACACACTAATTTCAGTAAGAATTTAAGAAGACTGAAGAGTTCAAAAACACTCTATCCAGTCCCAGAGACACAAAACTAAGCTGTGTTAAGTAGATTGGGCTTCTGAGAGAACCACGTGAATGTGACTAGAAAACGCACAGAGGATTGTCTAAAGCGAGACTTTAATAAAAAATAAAGCAGCTCCAGAATAATGTGGCAAAGATTATGTGAATCTTATTATGGGATATGTGCTTCATTCTATTAGAACCATCGTGAATTCTGTCCAATTCTATTTCAGCTACTTTGAAGAGCAGGAGAGACCACCCGGATTCAGCTACTTAGTTATAATCCGGCCCCTCCACGTGGCCACAGACGGCCACAGCGCTGCTTGCCCTGCCCCAGCATCGTCATCCTCGGCTTACCTAAAGCATGCCTCAAAGCACCTGGTCATATAATCCCAGAGGAAGTCTGTGCTGAGGGAAGAGATCAGCAAATTCACCGTCTTCACGATCTCAGAGGCATTTCTGTTTTCTTTGATTGTACTATAAAAGAAGGAGGGGAAATAAAAGCATCTAAAAATCCCAATTACAGGAACACTTTGTCTAAAAACTCACAGCTCATTCTACCATTTACAAGTTATTTCCAGAGAGGATGATGAACTCTGATAAAAATAATTAGTTTTAATTTTAAGGAAATGTTTACACAATGCCATCCTAAATAATACTTATATTGGTGCATTCTCTTAGAAGTAAGTATAAGAGCTATGATAAAATAATTTGGTAGAGAAAATCAGTTTTAGCCCAACTGAAGATAATTAAGACACTCTTAGTGGAATAACATGATTCAACCATGCAACAGGGAAATTTGGTTAAAAATTGATTGACTGCAGTGCCATGGCTCAAACTCAGGGATTTGTATATGCTAGGCAATTGCTACACAGTTGAGCTACAACTCCAGCCCTTGGCTAAAATTTTAAATGCACACCTTCTGTGGCTTAGAAAATTCACTCTAATACATCCTACAGAAATCCTTAGACACACAAATATATGCAGAAGGCTATAGCACTTCAACGCCATTTAGAAATACTGAAAAAGTGGAAACTACCTAAGAGTTAGTAAGAGATTGGTCAGCCAGGATTTACTAAATGAATGATAAATCCCTAACAAGGAATCTTAGACAATCACAGGACAACAGTATAGAGCTACTCACTGGCATTTTAAAAAGTAGGCAACCAAGCAGCAAGTGTAATTCCATCTCTGAAAGTAAAAGCTAGGCATTTATGTATTCATGTATGCAGTGAAGAGCTGGAAAGAAGTAAAAATCTTTTGCTTTTCCTGAAGGGTGGTAGGTTTACAGGTGATATCTTTTTTTTTTTTTTGGTACCTTTAAATATCAATAAATTCTACAATGTGTATGTAATACTTTTCATATTAAGAAAAACAATAAGCTTTCACTCTGGAAAAAAAAAGCAAACAATAAGAATTCTTAGGACACTTACAATGAGCACACCAGAAAAATCTGAGAATTAAATTTTCAATATCCCCCAATGCCAATTCAGACAGAAGGGAGTTATATTAAGAGTACAGCCAACTGTTATAATTAGACATCACTGAGTGAAGCAGGGCAGGTGCTGTATCCTGTATCACTCAGCCAGTTAAGCTCTGGGCCAACTCTGAGCACTGTGGTTAGATGAGAAGCAGCCTTTGGGGTGGGCCTGTGTTCCTGCTCTACAATTACAAGCTTGTGATGGAGGCCAGTTATACTTGTCAGAAACTCAGTGTTCTTATCTTTAAAAATGTAGAGAGTAATCAAGCAACTTTCAGGGCTGTGCATTTTTGTGAGGATTTGACACATGCACAAGTGAAGGCACCTAAGTGTCAGCACATGGATGTTTAAGAACTGGTAACTTGTGCTCGCTTCCAATACTAAAATTGGAACGATACAGAGAATATTAGCATGGCCCCTGCGCAAGGATGACATGCATCCTGGTAACTTTTTTCGATGGTACTGGGGGGTTGAACTCAGGGCCTCATGCCAGCTGAGCAATGCCCCCAGCCTTTTTGTTTTGGCTATTTTTGAGACAGGGTGTTGCTTATGCCCTGGCTAGCCTGAACCACAACCCTCCTATTAATGCTTCCCTTATAGCTGGGATAAACAGGTGCGTGCCACCATGCCCAGCTTTTTATTGGTTGAGATCTTTTTGCCAGGGCTGGCCTTGAACCACAATCCTGCTCTGTTCCTCCCAAGTAGCTAGGATTACAGGGAGGAACACTGTAATCCATTGGTGGTGGCAAATGCACACTTTAAAACAACACAGGGCACTAGACTCTGCCCTCAGAGCTCTGTCATTGTCTTCCCTCCCCATCTAATGATGTGTATTTCCCTGGCTCCACTTCCTGAGCTTGCTCCCTTCCCATCTTCTCTCTGTGCCTCACTACTCAGGTACACTAGATCAAACCACCTTTGTAGAACTTTCACACTTGATCAATAAACACCAACTGTATTCACAGGCTAGGTAAGAAACCAGATCAAACTCTTTTTCATTCTTCCCAGCACACAGTAGGAACAATCAATTCCTGTTGACTGACTTAATAGCATAGATTATTATTTTAACAAGTGTTCCAACCTGTGGCATCTCCACTTTTTCTAGAACTTCACAATTTATAATAAAGAATAGAGGAAAACAAAAACAATCATGGCACTAGGAGAGGAAAGATGTGTGAAGTCAGAGGGCATATCATACCTTATCAGCAGATTCCCACTCTGAGTGTAGCTCAGTTTAAGATCTGAGCCAAGGGCATCTCTACAGTAAGAATAAAAGGCTCTAATGACTTCAAGAAACAAATATTCAACCACTTGAGGCCCTGCAACCAAAACGAAAATGGTCAGAGAAGGACAGACAATCCACTTTAAAATGAACACAGACATACATAAAATATGTACAGAGAGTAACCCGTGTACACAGGCCTTTTGTACACTCCAAAGTGTATAGAAACAACTTCCTTGATAACAATGACAACTTCAGCTGGAGGAACAAGTTCATGAAAATAGCCAGTATTTCTGCAGAGCTTACTATGCATTGCACACGGTTGCTGGCATTTTGCACCTAGAGTGGCTCAATCGTCCCTGTAGCCACGTGAGCAGGTCCTATACTGCTACTGCCCCCCTCCCATAACACACATTGTGGCTGAGTCTCGGAGAGGTGAGGTACTGTCTGCTACATGCTCCAAACTGCTCAGCCAGAAACATTACTCAATAGCACATCGACAGAAGGCAGCTTCCCTTAGTCTGAATTCTTTTAATCATAGCTAGAACACAAAGGAAGGAAGACTGATTCTGAAGAGCTCACAAAGAGCCACAAGGAGCCACACCAGCTGCACGTGACAGCTGCTTCCGTCCAGCCAAGTCTGAAAGCACACTGATTCACAGAAAATGAATGTGCTGCCAACATGACTGTGCAAAGAGCAATCAACACAGTAACCTAAGCTCTTTCCGCAGTGCTGGGGATGGAGCGTGGAGCCTTGCACACACTGAGCAAATGCTCGGCCTGAGCTCATTCTCACATGAACCTAATCTTTCACTCTTTTCACAGCTTCAAAACACATGCCTTCAAGAAAATTACTTTCATAGTAAACCTTGTATGCATTTCATCTACAGCATAGGGGGTAATTGAAATACATTATAAGCATATGTGAAAATAGAATAATGAAACCCATTAAAATTGTAAAAAAAAAAAAGATGGGGGGAGGAGAATAAGAAAGAGTAACAAGAGGGGGAGTAAAATGACCAAAGTACATTATGTGTATGGATGGAAATGTCACAATGGAACCCCTTTGTACAATTAATACATGCTAACAAAAAAAGAACTTAAAGGCAGGCTAATAAGTACCTCTGTGGTGAACGGGAGGCCAGGAGGCAAGAGTCAGGGGCATGGCCCACTGATGAGCCCCAAAATGAGAAGTGTCCACTGGGGGAGCCTGGAGCACCCAAGAGTGAGGAAAACAAACAAACAAACAAAAAGTGGCAAATGCTTTTTTGTAAAATGAAGGCAATTCTGGCACCCCATTTAATGGAGAAGAAAAGAGGGTGGCCAAAGCCTAGAGCTAAGGGAATGGCGGGGACTGGATGGCGTTCAGAGCCGCTGGCCCTGTGTGATCTACTCCTCTGTGTTGTCCCTAGACAACTAGACCAACAGGCTGAGAAGAGCAGGAACTGCCGTGATTGGGCAGAGCCCAGGAAACATGGCCTATAGCTAGAGCAACACTCACCTGGCTCACAAGGTGCATGGCTTCGGCATGAAACATCTCCAAAACGCCAAGTCCTGCTTTGGATACCTCTCTAAAGCACACAGCAAGCTCCTAACACATGGATTAGGCTAAACTTTTTACTTTTTAGGCTAAACTACTTTTTTTTTTTTCAGTACTAGTGCTTGACTCAGGGCCTTTACCTTGAGCCACGCTGTGAAAGGTTTTTGAGATAGGGTCTCACAAACTACTTGCCCAGGCTGGCTTCAAACCGAGATCCTCCTGATCTCTGCCTCCTGGGTAGCTAGGAGTACAGGCGTGAGCCACTGGTGCCTGGCCTAAACTACTTTTTAGAGCTGTAGTTACATCACACTCAGAGAAAAGTTTATTCAAGCCATTGCTGGTGGATGGAGGTGGGAGAGCAGGAACTTGAGCTAGCACTTAAAGGGCAGAGCTCCAAAGAACAAAGGCTCCACACTTTGCTCTAGATAAAAGCAGATGGAGCTGCACTGCTTTGAAAAGCAACTCCTGTTACATGAGAAAGCATCTTGGGACAATTGACAACTTGTCTCAGTGCCACCAGGCCAGCAACAATGTCCTAACAAGGAGAGCTTAGCCTCTAGTGGCCTTGGGCAAATAGCTCACCCTGGCTTAACGTCTGAATCCCCACTATAAGTGGCCACCATAAAAGAACCCATCTCCGGGTTGTGGAAGTGTGGAAGCATATGTTAAATGATGTATGCAGAGCTGGGGGCATGGCACAAATGGTAGACTGCTTGACTAGCATGCATCAGGGCCTGGGTTCAATCCCCAGTACCACAAAAACAATTAAAATAAAATAAATTATATATGCAAATCCATAGCACAAAATAATCACTCAAAAATGCATCACCAATATTATTAATAAAAACAGTTCAAACACTATAGGACCTCATAGTATCCCATCTAACTTGATGAGGAGGAGCCTGTTTCCTTTTGTAGCCCTAGAGCTCATACCATCTCTCCTACACAAGCAGATGCTCTAGTGCCAGACGGAATGAACAAAGGGAGTGTCTCTACCCCCAGATCACAGACACCAGCACTGCAGAAAGTCCTCAGCTCTCTGCTCTCTGCAAACAGCAGCCAGGAGCTGAGCACACCCTGAGCAGTGAAGACACTCTTGAGCTGACAATGCAATGGGGTTTTAGCCCTGTTGCAGGGCTCAGGTAACTAGATGCCAGATCCAACAGTAAACGGATACTGTAGAGATTATTTTTAAGGGGAGAAGGGCACTTTTTCTCAACTGATGCTCACAGGACTGCAAAGAGTAAAGAAGGGATCCTCTAGTAAGCAGTCTAGTTCAATTACTTTTATTTTATAGTGAAAATAGCCTCTCAGCACTTAGGAAGCTGAGGCAGGAGGACTGCTTGAACCCAGGAGTTTGAGACCAGCCTGGTCTACATAATGAGACCCTATCTCAGTAAACAAAACAAAAAAAGTAGTGTGGCATTGGAATAAAGACATGGTTTCAAAAGGATATACCATATGTGCTCGGTAGGCACATAATACATGTGCCAAAAAAGCTCAAAGGCACTTTCCCAACAATGTTCAAATTGTTGTGCAAAATGTTTTTTTCTTTTGGTTTTTTTGAGACAGAGTCTTATATAGCCCAGGCTGACCTCAAACTCAGGATCTTCCTGCCTCTACCTCCTGAATTCTGAGATTACAGCAGTGTACCGCCACAGCTGGCAAAAGGAAGATTAATTTTTTTAAATTGATACTGAAGATGGAACCAAGGGCCTTGTGCATGTTAGGTAAGTGGTATGCCACTGAGCTACATGTCTAGCCCGAAACTTTTTTTTTTTTTGGTAGTTTGAACTCAGGGCCTACACCTTCAGCCATTCCACCAGCCCTCTTTGTGTGATGGGTTTTTTTGAAATAGGATCTCACGAACTATTTGTCTGGGCTGCCTTCAAACCACAAGCCTCCTGATCTCTACCTCTTGAGTAGCTAGGATTACAGGCATGAGCTACCAGTGCCCATCTGTGTAAAACTTTTAAGTAGTCTCAGATATAAGAACTGAACTACATAACTTCAAGATTCTGAAATTCTGAAAATTAAATTATAGTCAAAGTGCCAAATTGATTGCATCTGTGTTTTAATTCCTTGAAAGTAGATAATGTGTGTCTGCCCCCAATGGTAGTGGCTTTTCTAATTACCGATTTCTGGCTTGTCCAGCAGACTGACGAGAATGCGGAAAGGCTTCAGGTAGGCATGATGACGTTCCTCAACCTCAGCATCTGAGAACTTCTGATGCAGTATCTCAGCCAGGCCCTATTTGTTTAAAAAGGCTCACATCAGGATTTTGCATATGGTGAGGTAAGATACTATCAGTTGTCCTAAATGTCAAGCACTCTGAGAGAAAACAAGAACCAGTTTCCAGCCCACAAGTACACTGCAGTTCTCCAAACTATACCCAAGGACCACAGCCAGTGTAGTGTCTTCTTTGAAGTGCCACAAAGAATTCCACTGAAGAACTGTGGTGAGGAATGTTCTGAAGAGGTCAACTTTTTGGAAATGTCCTTACCTCCACTAAAAGATCCTTGGAGTATTTTTCAAAAAAATAAGAGGATTGGTTTTGATAAGAATTTGAGATTTCAGATTCTGGAACAATGGTATTTCCTTTAATGTCTGAACCTATACAAGAATAAAGACCATGAGTGTAAAGAGATCTGTGCAAACATTATGCTGTGCAAAATTCTCATGCTCCATATTTTTAGAAATATAAATCCCCCAGCAGTAAAATAAAATCAGATAAATTCTCCCTTTTCTTTCTTGCAGTGCTGGGAATGAAACCAGGGCTTCACACAAGCTAGGCAAGCATGCCACCACTGAGCTACAGCCCTAGCTCCCACATCTTCTTCTGACTGTAATTGGCTAGGGATCAGGCAGGAAGAATTCCATCCTTGTGGGTGTAAATTTAGAATTTGCCCTGTCTTCTACAAGTAAGATTATAAGTAACTGATGGAATGAGGAGCATTTTCAAACCATCACTATGTGAAGTCAAGCTATTCTCATACACATACTACATGCTCTCAGTTTGGGAGTCTCAGTTTGGATGAGTCTGAGAGATCTTCAGGGCAAAAATCAGCACTGTCCTGGTACAAGCAAAGACGTTGGGGCCCCTGGACACAGCTAAGTGAGTTCCAGGGTCCTCTCTATACACAGAATGTCAAGTCCTATTGGAGTCAAGCTGGCATTTAGCAGTCATCTTTTCAGTAAAATTCCTTGAAGAGCCCATAGTTAATCTTAAAATCCTTAGAGTAAGCTTCCTTGCAATGACTTTTGAAAGTTTTACAATTGGGAGAACAGAAAGAAATCTGAAGAGGACTTCTGCCTTTGGTGTGAGAAGACACACACTGAGGGCTCCAACAACTCTGGCATTCTTTCACAGTCGCTTTACACACCACTTTTGCTTAGGGGCACGAACATGGGAACTTACAACACTCAGAAAAATGCATCTTCAGCTCTATGATTTCCTGGCATGTCCCTGCGAAGCTCTTTGCAAGGGCTCTTTGCCTGTGGTTTACAGGCTGTCCACCAAAACAAATGCACTCACACGGAATGTCACCAGGGGTTTGTGTGTTCTCTTGGGTTATCCGAATGCCTCCCTAAACAGTCTCATGTATACACAACCTCCTCCTTTATGCACATGCATTCCACAATATTTGTGCATTTTCTCTACATATACCCTCATCCCAGGAAAACTTCTCTACAGAGCAGGCTTTTTATTTTTACCCCTGCTACCAGGGATTGAAAGCAGGATGATGTACATTCTAAGCAAGCGCTCTACCACTGGCTGTGCCCAAGCCCTTTCTAAATTTTACTTTGTGATAATGTTTCACTAAGTTGCCCAGGCTGGCCTTGAACTAGTGATCCTCTTGCCTCAGCCTCCTCAGGGCTGGGATTATAGGCATATACTACTGTGCCTGGCTTTAGAGCAGATTTCTAATTGAATGTAGTTTAGCTGTAATTTTTTCGGTATGGTACTTCAAGCTCTTAAGGTGGGATTCAGCTGGCTTTTTTTTCTTTTTTGGCAGTACTGGTTTTTGAACTCAGCCTTGTGAATGCTAGGCAAGTGCACTACCACTTGAGCCATACCACCAGCTGGTATTTTGAATATCCCACTTATTTCTCTTTTTAGAAAGAAAAATAAAAAAGGCTGAAAAAAGCTTCATGCAGGAAGTCACCTCATTTGACCAGTGCTATATTTGGTCAGTGTGGTATATTTCCACACTTTATAGCAGAAACATATCACCAACACATTCCAAACATTCCAAAACCAGCACAGCGAGTCTCTCCCACTACTCAGTACCTAGCAACCAGGCATACAGTCTTCTGTTCAGAGACATGTCCCTTCTCAGCAGGGTCTGGGTGGCAGCCGAAAGAATGTGCACAATGTCAGATCTGAGCAGGGGAATGGCTCTCTCACTGGGATCCTACAAGAAGGACAGAGAAAACTTTATCACAGGGAATGATAAAGTAGATTGCTGACCCTTTCACATGAGGCCTTTCCTTATACAAAAAGGCAGTTCTCAAAAGAGGCTAGTTCTTTGTGTGTTGCCCATGGAAAGAAGTTACTCAGTATCTGCTATGAAAATACCATCCTCACAAAACAAGCGAGGGCCTTTAAACAGGTGAAGCCAACACTGATCTCTGACTGGTCAAGCTCTCCTCTCAAGACAGAACTGCTGGAGAGCTAAGCCCCAATCCCTTCCCTCAACAAGTAGCAGGACATGGACAAAACCACACATATGACTTACCAGACAGGTATAAAATGGGAAGAAAAACAGAACAATTTCCAGATTATTTCTTTGCACAAGAACATTTGAGTCCAACAGGGATGCACAGAGTGAATTTACCTGTAGATGATAAATGAAATTAACAGCTTATTCCAAAGACACTTAATATCTTTTGCAGGCTACTCTGAAGAGTCATACAGGTTAAGTAACCTTTCCTGGAAGTCTTGACCCACCATGTTAGATCACACATAAGAAAACAAGCTATAGGTCAGGATGGCAGGGGTTCAAACTCCAGGGACTGAAGCGCTGCATGACATGGGAAGATGTGCCGCTGCCCACATCCATTTGAGGAGCTGCCTGCTCCATCTGAGACATGAAGGAGAAAAGACCAGGTGGCTGGGTTCTGAGACTTCAAATTCTGTGATCCAAGGCAGGACCAGGATCCAACAGGAAACTAAAGTTAAACCAAACTGTGAGGATGCATGGTCCAATGGATTCTAAATCAATCCAGTATCTACTAACTACTTCAGGTAGTGTTTCTGAATATAGACAGGGGCAATATAGATGTTCATGGCTAAGAGCCATAGACACAGGCTTGAGAAACCTGTGAGAAGTCAGAGGAGGATAGGGAAAGCCCTTTCAAGCTCAGAGAAAACTAAAGTTTTGTGGGGAAAGCTGAACTCCAAGAACAGGAAGCAGCCACACTGTGGCCTGCACAGGAGCAGAGAGCTGACCAGGACAAAGACACAGCCTCACAGTCACACAAGGCCAGGTCCTGTAGTGCAAGTATAGAGGGCCTACAGGGAGAGCAAGTGAGTGGTGGGCTAGGATCAGACATTAGAAAACTCTGGAGTTGGGACTTGCTCTGTAAGCAAGAGGAAGTCAGATAACTTAAAAGACACAGGATAAATATGAGCAAAGCAAATCTTGGGCTGATGGAGTGGCTCAAGTGGTAGAGCATCTGCCTAACAAGCATGAGGCCCTGAGTTCAAACCCCAGTATTGTCAAAAAAAGAAAAAAACCCAAATCTCTTAGCAATTGATAAGGACTAAATGGGGAGACAGGGAGAGGGAGAAAAACCAGTTAGAAAATTATGTTTTGGCCCAAAAACAAGACATAAAAAGCCGAAGCAGGGCTATGAATGGAGAGAAAGAGACAAAGGTGACATCCACAGAGCACTATTTAGGGCCCATTCCTATCATCATGTGAGGTGCTCTTCATCAATCTCGCACTTAGTCCTCAGAAAGGCCCTGTGAGGGAGATCTACCACTCCCACTGTGCAAGGAATGGATTCAGAGAGGTAATTTATACCAAATCCCAGGCTTTGTAACCTGTGAATTCAATCTGGACACTTAAGTGAGGATGCACCACCAGGTGGCACCAGACAGCAAGCCTTAAAAACACATGAAGCAGGGATGGGGTGAAGACAAAGATCTGAGAAGCTCCCATCAGTATGTTACTGAGAAGAGATGAGGCAGCCATTGAGGAGAGCCCCCCTCAAAGAGCCTACACCAGACACCTGGTGAACCCTGACAATTTAGGTCTGAGGGCAGCCAAAGAAGCCCAGCACAGAAGGAACAGGGCCAAGAGCCGCTGCGTGTCAGGAGCTGGAGAGGAAGGAAGTTCAACAAGTGAGTGATGGCTACAGTGACCTGGGCAGGGGAGCAAGGGGATTGAAGCCACAGAGCAGAGGCACCTCTGAGCACAGCTGTGGTGCTGATAAGGACTTGTACAGCTGCCAAGGGACCTCCTTGGGCATGAGCAACGTACTTTAGTACACAAACCTTAATGCACATGTTTAGAAAAGGAAACCCACCACCATCCTTGACTGCATAATGCCACAGCAATGCTGCCTCCTTATCTTGCTTGGCAGCTCACCACCATTGCACATACTCTGCATCTTGGAATGCCTCCACTTCCCTGGCTGCTCCCTAATGTCCCTTTGCAGCTTCAGTAACAACCATGGCACGCATAAAAGACGCCCACACGCCTCTCCCACCCTATCCCCCTTGGGAAGAGCAAAGCACCCACCGTAAGCTGGTAGTCCGTCCCCAGCATGTACTTCTGTTCCTTGCCAGGCAAATCCCTGTTGATGTGGCCCACCACAAAGAGCGAAGCAGGGAGGCGGATGGATGGGCTTGCTAGGACACTCCCCCACAGGGCAGTATAGAATACCTCCCTGCCCACCACCAGGGACAGTCTCAGCAGCAAGGCATCTGTCCTGTTGGGAAGACATGCAAGGATTTAAGGGCTCATCCCACCTTCTGAATCTCACTAGATGTGTCCAGAAACAGATTCGCTCATGGCTGGGGAAGCTCTGTTTTCCTCATCGTTCTCAACTGCAGCCATCTCTCACCCTTTTGTTTTCCTCCCACCACCTGTCATGCTGGACCTAAATTTGCTAAAACGAACACAAGATGCACTGCTTCCTGGCCAACAGGAAACATCTGACCGGTCATGTCACCGTGGCACTGAGACTGTCTCCGCCCCCAGCCTTTCCATGGATACCAAGGTACTCACAGAAAGGCAGTGCCACTTTCAAAAGGGTATGAGCAGACCAATCACTTCGTAATAAAAATGCAAATGTCATCCATGTGTCAGAAAACAAAGTGTTGATGTGACATTGAAGATTAGGAACTATAAACATGCTCCTAGCCTGAGCACAGCCAGGAATGTGACTTCAGAATCCTGGCCTGGCCTCCTGCAGGCCTGCAGATTGCATACAGCTGGGAGCAGTGTAGTCTTTCAATCTGCGCAGAGCACCTACTCAGTGACTCCCTGCTCTGAGAAGCTCTTGTGCCTAGGCTGAGGCCTACAGTTCTTGTCTCTTACCTTTTTTCCTTTCTTTCTTACTTTTTTGTTTGTTTATTTGTGGTACTGGAGTTTGAATTTGGGGCCTCATGCTCTCCCTCTTGAACCACTCTGCCAGCCCTCTTATCTTTACGTCTCCCATGTCAGTTAGTTATGTCCTCCCCATCAACACTGACCATCTGCAGGCTGAGTGAAGATCCACCAGTAACCCAGCAAAGGCAAATTCCCACAAAGTGTTTCACCTCATGAGTGACCCAACTCATACCCTGCAAGGATTCTGTTTCTTACATGCTTCCAACTTGCAAAGAGGACAGAAAACAATGACAGGACTGGCTCAGTGAAAAGGGGCAGCTCACCTGGGTTTCTTGATTTAGCCCTCTTGTGTCTAAACCCTGGTGGAGGACCCAGGACAAATTTAACCTCTGTGCAGTCCACACTCAGCTTTGAGACACAGCAAAGACCCTCTACCATGTGGAGATGTGGGAACTGAGTGAGAGTTTCTGTAAAAACTCAGTGCAGAACAGTACTGGTGCTCGGGTATACCACCTGTAATCTGACAATGGTCCCCAGTGCCTACATGAGTGTGACACAAATTGCACCTGGAGAAATCAATGTAGCTCTTCCATTTTGTGATAGTCCCAATCTCCTTTGGCAGCTCTGGGTTTGAACTCAGGACCTTGAGCTTCCCAGGCAGATGCTCTGCCACTCGAGCCACGCCCCCAGCCTGCTTTAGGTTATTTTTAGATAGGGTCTTGAGATTTCACCTGGCCTGGATCCTCCTACCTATGATTCCCACATATCACAGTGTGCTCTCCTGTACCTGACTTTTTTTGTTGATATTGAGTCTAACTTTTTGCCCAGGCTTGCTTCAAAACTTGATCCTCCAAATCTCTGCCTCTCCTGTAGTTGGGAGTACAGATGTGAATTATCAGGCATACCCTTCAGCTTATTTTTCAACTATCAGTTCAGTGTATATAAAAATGTTTTATGTAAAAAAAACCCTATTATCTTTATACATTAAAATGAATTTGTTCTGCTTAGAATATGAGTTCAAACCTTTTTGTCTAATAAAATATTTGTAGGAAATGATGCATAGTCTCATCTTAGAAAAAACAAAAATAGAGAGATGCAGATGAATTGTCAAATGTTTGGGAAAGTACAGAATGGTTTTATGGCTGAAGCTATTGATTGGTCTCCCATTAAAGACTAAGCAAACAGAGGCTGGCTTGGCCAGCTCTGGAAAAAAAAAAAAAAAGTAACAAAAGCCCAATATTGGGCAGAAGCACCACTTAGCAGCTGCAGTTATGGTAAGGTGGTCAGATGGGTGACTGTCCAGGTCACCTTAGTACGGGGCAGACAGGATGGTCCTGAGCAAGGCAGAGACTCCACAGTAACAGGTCAGTGAAGGTAGCCCTGGAGCACTCTCTCTTCTGGAACACTGGCCACAAGAGATATTCCACCATCACAAAGCCTGGGAAAGTTAGGGCTGGCACTATGACTCAATGATAGCGCACTGACCTAGTAATCACAACACCCTCAGTTCAAAACTCAGTACTGCAAAAAAAAAAAAAAAGCCTGGGAAACTGTGTACATTGTCCCTTTCCCAACAGGGTACACTGGCTGATTTTCTGTATTAAAGAAATGTGACTTTATTCCTTAAGTCTTATTTAGTCTAAAAAAAATTAATGGGTCAACGTGGAAGAAACAGCAATTGCAACAACCCTTCGCTATGGAAGAGCAAAGTAGCTGGGGTTAAAGTTTAAGTGACTTTGTACTGAGGAAGAGTCACTCTGGTCATCTCAACTATTAAATTAGTGCATTAGAATCCACAACTCTGAATGTTCACAGTTCAAAACCCACAATAGCAACTACCAAAGCCCTGCTATTTCCATCCTTCCTCATTCACTCTGGCTGCTGCTGTCTGCTGCCTCCTGAAGACACAACCTTATTCAAGCGACACTGACCCCTGTTCTATTGGAAGTGAGTGAGGGGCCCGCCCCGGGGCTGGTGCTGCAAACCCAAGCATTTCACAACTTTGGCTCTGCAGCCGCCTACCCAGTGCACAGCCACGGGAGGCTGAGCTGGCACCAGAGTACACAGCTTGGCGGGATCATCTGAAACTGAGCAAGCAGGGCAGTTGCAACAGCGCCCTGCACCATGCAGGCAGTGCCAGGCAGAGGTCATCACTATGGGGCCAGGAACCAAAAGAAATGTGCATAAATTCTGTTCAATCATTTAAACCATGGTTTCTCAGCTGGGCACAGTGGTGACCCTGCCATTGCAGCTACTCAGGAGGCTGAGGCAGGAGGATCACTTGAGTTCAGGAGTTCAAACTGGGCAACATAGTGAGGCCCCATCTCAAAAAGTGAAAACAAAAAAATCAATCAGGGCTTCTTAACCTCAATGCTACTAACATTTGGGGAAACTGAGGCTGGGCTGAGTGGAGTAATAGAGGGAACACAGTCAAAGAGACCATTCATTTTGGAATTAGGGGAATCTACAGGGTTCCCTCCAGCCTAGCCCTCCTTGCCCCTTCCTCCCATGGGCCAACTCCCTATATTTTTTTTTTCAGTCCTGGGGTTTGAACTCATGGCCTATACCTTGGGCCACTCCACAAGTCTTTTTTTTATAATGGGTTTTTTCAAGATAGGGTCTCATGAACTATTTGCCTAGGCTGGCTTTGAACTGTGATCCTCCTGATCTCTGCCTCCTGAGTAGCTGGGATCACAGGTGAGAGCCACCGGCGTCCAGCTCCAACTCCTTCTTTGTTGTAAGGGCAGCTGTGTGTGTCACAGCACCCTGGGCCTCTGCCTGCTAAACACCAGTAGAGTGGGGGTGGGCAATATCGCCCTGGATGGAGAACTGCTGATTTAAATGGAAATATCTGGTCAGCCAGTTCTTGCTTCTTACAAACCATAATATCAGCCACTTCTCTTCTTCTCCATAGAAGAGGAATTTAGTTAGTATCTTCCTCATCTAATCTTGTTAATACAGCAAAATACATATATAACTCTGAGCACTTTCAGAATGATTGCTGGCCAGTAGAAGGTAATGTATAGATCTCAAAGAGTTAGAAAGCCAGTGTTAATAATACTGCCTAACACTGGCCAAAATTTCCATTTTTTTATGGTTCACTAAAAAGCACAAACCAGAAACAGTCTCCACCTACATGAGACTTGTGAGTCACACTAGCCCTCATCAGCCCATGCCCAGCTCACTCCTTTGCAATATCTACCAGCATGGACATTATGACCCTAGGCACACTTGCTTTCCTATCCAGGCATGCTGGGGTGTTTTGCTCAATACCTATGCATTTTGGGGGAACAAGTGCCAAACTGTCACAGACTAAAATAGAGACAGCAAGAAAACAATCTTCTGCTGTCACCTCATTTCCTTGTGCCCATAATGCACTGGTTCAGAGATTATATAACCCGTGACCAGCATCTACCATGGAAAGCGATAACTTAATAACTTCTGGGTAACTCAAAGGCTTGGCTCGGCTTTCTGTGACAGCTAAACCTATGCAGTGGTTCATTCAGTTGCTCAGCAATTGGTTCCATGTCAAGAAATCACAATGTTAGGATAAAAACCATTAATAGTTAAGCAACTTAACTATTCAAATGAACCCTCATTTATCAACTAAGGGAACAAACAAAAACACTCCAAGTATTGACCTGCTTCTAGTGTGATTCACAGTTTTGAAAGATGGCAATAAATTTTGAGAAGTATGCTAGGTGTCAGTGGCTCCTGCCTATAATCCTAGCTACTCAGGAGGCAGAGCTCAGGAGGATCTTGGTTTGAAGCTAACCTGGGCAAATAGTTCATGAGATCCTATCTGGAAAAAAAAAAAAACAACAACGCAAAACAGAGCTGATGGAGTGGCTCAAGCGGTACAGCGCATGTTTAGCAAACATGGGGCCTGCAGTTCAAACCCCAGTACCACCAAAAAAAAAAACTGAGGAAATAATGTGATCATCAGTCAGATGATGGAAAAGACATTTATAGAAACAGATACACAGGTATACACACATACCTGTTATCAGAACATGAAGGTAGCAGAACTTCTACAAATTGCCTAGGACTAAGAGTCAAGAGACATGGAATCTGGTAATGGTCCTCTTGATGCCTATGTGACCTTGACCCCAATCATTAACTGGGCGTACCCCCTAAGTTATGGTATATGCCAGCTACAATGCATGGTGCTAGACTTAAAATGGCAAAAAGACAGAGTCTTCCTCCAAAGGAAGTGATTATACAGGTAGGTTCTCCACTGGGAAATGGAAAGCCCCTGTCTGGTCTATGTGAAAGTTTAAAGTGGTTGAAGTACTTATCTCTGGTTAAGTTTGTCAAATCCTGGTATAGATATAAATGAAATGCACCCTTGAGGAATGGAGAGGTAGCTCAGCCATACAGTGCTTGCTTAGCATGTGTAAGGCCCTGGGTTCAATCCACAGTAACACACATGAAAAGAAAAAAAAAGAGAAGAAAAGAAAAAGAAATGTACACTTGGTGACTAGCCACAGCACTCCAGAGCTCTAAATCATTCTGATTCCTTGGTTTGGCCTTTAGGGGAGAACTCCAAGTGGGTCTGGGATTGATTCCTTGATTCTACCCCAGCCCTTTGTCACTGCCATGGCTGAACTTTCTGGAAATGCAAGCAGTACATTGTGTAATCAAATGGAAACATTTTTCCAGCAGTCAGCAATCACTGCAGATGGGCTCTTCAACACATCTACTAGCTGATTTAATCCCTGCAGCACCTCTCCAAATAGTTAACATGCTAGAAATGAGCTTTTTACCATCCAAAAAAAAAAGACACTGTATACCCAGTAGACTGAATGGATATACACTCCCCTCACTTCTCCTTGCAATACCCAAAACCTGCATGAACTTCTATGCATATGAGATTTACAGGTTTCTCAGAGAGCTGCTAAATTTATCAAATTATCAAGATATCAGCTGCAAATGGCAGTGCATGCCTGTAATCCCAGCACTCAGGAGGCTGAGGCAGGAAGATCAAAAGTTTGAGGCCAGCCTGAACTATAAAGTGAGGCCTTGTCTCAAAAAAAAAAAAAAAGGCTGAATCACTTCTCTAAGCCCTGCCCAGCTATGAACCTAACCCGGCTTTGCCTTTTTATTTAGAAGCTAAAAGAGGAAGGGCTTTAGAATCTGGTCCATGCACCTAGAATCCTGACTCTATTGCTCACTGACCATGGAAACCTTCCTATGTTCTCACCCTCACCTGTAAATAGGGGGACTTCTTAGAATACAGGAATCCCTGTGATGAGGTACAGAATGCACCCAGTATGAGCCATTTATTTCCTCCATAGACGAGGTATAGTACCACAAACAGATGATGTGGATGACTGCATAACAGGACAGGACGTAACAGGAATCCTGCGCTATGGCCTCCCTTAACCAGGATGCTTCTCCAGGCAAAGCAAGTCACCTTCATAGGCTTGGGGCTTCCCTTCTGGTGTAAGAATATGGTGAGGTTCCCAGGAATACATGGTATCTTGTCAAGTAGAGAGATCAAAGAAACATCACCCTCTGTGTGTCTCCGCACTTCTTTCCCAGTTTCTGACTTATAAAGAAGGGGGACGGCTGGAGGCATGGCTCAAGTAGTAGAGCACCTGCCTAACAAGCACGAAGCCCTGAGTTCAAACTCTAGTACTGCAGAAACAAAGAAAAAGAAGTTGTACAACCCAGGCCAGGCAAAGTCAGTCCACAGGACTAAACACCTACGTACCTGTCATAAATCTCGGAACCTTCCTCCAGGCCGGGAAGTAGGCCCACAAGGAAGGCCTGGAGACTGGGCAGGAGCAGCTTCTGCAGCGGGAGGAAGTACTTCTCATACAGGCCAAGCAGCACGGGCCGCACCGACATCGCAGCATTTGCCAGGAGTGGGAATAAGCCGCAGCTTTGAGAAAGAAAACAAGAGCAGTCAGGAGGAGTCAAACACCAGTCAGAAGCTCCAGGTGATCAGCTAACACAGAAGGGAAGGGAGGGTGTTTTTTTTAACGGTACTGGGGTTTGAACTCATGGACTTCTGCTTGCTAGGCAGGCACTCTACCACCTGAGCCATGCCCTCAGCCCTTTTCATTCTAGCTAATTTGGATATAGGGTCCCACTTTTTGCCAGGGCTGGCCTAGAACCAAGATCAGCCTCCTAAGCAGTTAGGATTACAGGTGTGAGCCACCAGGGCCCAGCTACAGATACATTTGACATGAGATGGTCAAAAGATAGCATTAAATAAAAAGCAGGCAACTAAGTTGTATGCACATCCGGGTTCTTCAAAGTGATCTATGGTATCTCCCAGTAATGGCTTTATGACTAATTGTTGTAAGCGCTCCTCCTCCATGCTAACTTTGCTTGTCATTTTCTAAACTTGTGAACTGAAATGTGTATTGCGCAGGTAATAAAAGTACTATAGTGGAAAAGTAATCGCACCTGTACAGGAACAAGTCCTTGGCCAGCCATTTGGTCCCCACAATTTTGAAGATAATCTCATAGGTTTCCAGGGCTTTTAAATGTACGCCACTAGGCAGGGCAGGATGTAAACACTGAGCTAATCTCTTGCTGATAATGAGCCGTCTTGGCAATAAGGAATACTTCAGGTTGCTCTGGAGAGCCTATGAAACAAGGAAAAGCACATGAGGAAGGCAGCTGTGATATTTACAGTGGAAAGCAAATCTGTGAAGGCCAGGAGACAACCATGTGGCTATAAGAAAGAGATATGTAGGACAAGGGAACAGAGAGACTGCACATGGAGGACCCAGGAAGAACCACAAACCAGGTTCTATGGTCATGGTGCCTGGGGAAACCCACGGCAATGCTGGAAAGGAGGCAGGTACCAGTGACTTTGTCACCACCAGGCCAGCTTCTTGGCTACACTTTGGAACCCACACACAGGTGAGGGCTGTGTGTGCCTCTTATCTTGAGAAGCCATCAGTCTATGCACAGACGAATCAGAACACAGCCATATCAGGGTAGGCAACTTCACTCCCTTAGAAGAGCCTGGTTGTGTGCCACTGAAGCCCTGGATGCTTGCTCAGGGAGAGGAAGAGGGATGAATTACCCACCATTCTCCAACTCAGCCTCGCAGTCATGTGGCTCTGACTGAGGACTCACCTACCGAAAATGGGCCACCTTCCCTGGCATGTCCTCCAGTTAGGGACGGTGCTGGTAGGGACCACCCACTTTTGGGTGGAGTAATAGCATCCTCAAGAAAACAAGGCTTCTGTGGGCAGGACACAGGACCAGCCAGTATGAAAGCACCTTTGGATACTTGCTGTATCCAAGACACGGCCAAGAGGGTGAACAGACCAAAGCTACTCTTGGGCTGGGCATATCTCGGTGGCAGAGCGCTTGCCTAGCATGCGTAAGACCCTGGGTTCAACCCACAGCACTGCAAAACCACAACAACCGAAAAAAACTGCTCTTCATGGTATCATGTGACCACAAACGGAGCACTTTGATTGCGAGTCTCCTAATAAGGGTCTTAAATACAGAGTGTCTGACATTATGGTGGAAAAATTCACATCACTCAGTCATTCACATACACATATATTTACCTACAGCATCAAGGTAAACTCCAGGCTTTTTGAAAGTCACTCAAAGGCATCCACAGCATGACTGCTGTCTGCTTTGCCTACCCCTTTTCTTAACACCTTAGCCTCAAACTTTATTACAACATAGAACAATCTCTAGCTCCCAACTGCACTTTGCTGCCCCTTGAGTGTCCATCTGTCCACCTTGCTAACTTCCTCAAGTGTGATTTAGCTCGGTGTCCCCTCTTGGAAGACAAAAGTCCCCCAGGCAGGGCCTCTCCTTTCCACAACTTGAGGACAAGGACTATCTTATGCATCTCTGCTGTCTTCAGCAGTTTGCATAATGCCCGAAATAATGCAGGTGGTTTGGAACATTTGCTATGCCAACTGCATTCCATCCATGGGTCAGAAGCACTGACCATGGATCAGGAGCATTGGTCATGGGCCAGGTGCCCTAAAGGCCATGACAGCTTTCTTAAAACCAAATAAAATGATCACACCTTTAAGACATATGCTCAGGTCATATAGAAGGGAAAGGAAGGAAAGGAACAAAAAGGAAATAATATTTCTCATTAGAAGCCTGTGGTCTACATATGTGGACATTAGATCAAGGGCAAACACAACAAGGTGATTGGACTATGAGCACATGATAAAAGCGAGAGCACACAAGGGAGGGGTGAGGATAGGTAAGACACCTAAAAAACTAGCTAGCATTTGTTGCCCTTAATGCAGAGAAACTAAAGCAGATACCTTAAAGCAACTGAGGCCAATAGGAAAAGGGGAACAGGTACTAGAGAAAAGGTTAGATCAAAAAGAATTAACCTAGAAGGTAACACACACGCACAGGAAATCAATGTGAGTCAATGCCCTGTATAGCTATCCTTATCTCAACCAGCAAAACCCCTTGTTCCTTCCTATTATTGCTTATACTCTCTCTACAACAAAATTAGAGATAAGGGCAAAATAGTTTCTGCTGGGTATTGAGGGGGGGAGCGGGAGGGGGTGGAGTGGGTAGTAAGGGAGGGGGTGGGGGCAGGGGGGAGAAATGAACCAAGCCTTGTATGCACATATGAATAATAAAAGAAAAATGAAAAAAAAAAGCCTGTGGTCTACATGTTTAAAAAAACAAATAGATATAGGCTGGAAGCATTGCTAAGTGGTAGAGCGCCTGCCTAGCAAGTATGAATCTCGAGTTCAAACCTCAGTACCACCAAATATATAAATAAAGAGGTCATCAAGAAGTATCTTAAAATGTCATTTATGAAGTCTAATACCTGAAACAAAGGAAAGGCAACAAAATAATTTAAATAATGTGTATATATATATAAAAAGAACTGAGGAGCCACTTAAATCACAAGCTGTAACAGGATGAGAACAAATGGGTAGATGCAGCAGATAGAAAGCAAGTGTGGGCAGTGAACAGGAAATAGTACATTTTTTATAAGGGACACTTTCAAACACACAGAAGAGCAGGCAGAACAGCCAGGTGACCATCATGCAGCTTCAGCAGGTCCTGAAGACACAGCTTTTAGGAAACAACTTCTAACATCAGTGGCTTACTAAGAATGCAGTGACTAGCTTACTACCCAGATGCAAGAGTAGGAAAGCTACTTACAACAGAACTCAGAGCCTTTTCTCAAACTTCTTCCCTACACTTGGTAGTGTTTATCTTGAGCTGTTAATAATTTTAAGGCTTTTTATACAGAAGATATATAGAAACATTTTCAGATTTTGCATCTGATTTCTTCATGCAGTTGTAGCTCTAACAAATACTTTACCTTACAGATACTCGTTGCACAGGTAGATAATACCATGCTTAGAAATTTGTTTCCGGTCATTAAAAACTCTAAGACCAATCTATATCATGTACCAAAGTGACTTAAAATAATTCTACATAGTAAGGGAGCTATTTCTGACAACATGGTTTTCTCTTTCTAAGTCCCTAACAAATCTCATTTCTGCTCAGTGCAGACTAAGGACGTCTGCTATCCACAGGGCCAGAGATCAAGGCCCTCCTAAGGCAGCACAGAGGATTTATGAGTGTTTGCTCCCTTTCATCTGCAGGATCCCATCATTCTGCCCTTTGACCTCAGGATGACAACATGACTTACTCTAGCCAATGACATCGTGGAAGTGTGTATGCCACTTCAGGCACAGGCTTCAAAAGTCAGCTTGAAGCTTGTAGCTCCTCTCCCTGCCTTTAAGATCATGAAACATGGGTTGAGATGAAGCCCTTCCCACCCGGGTTCCTGAGAAACTCCAGAGACAGAAACCACCTGCTGATCCAGTAAGCCAGGAGTAAACTACGTTGAAGTCACTGAGATTTGGGGCTTGTCTGTTGCCCTGACATGACTTTCCCTATCCTGACTGAAACTTCTTCTCATGTATGGTATATATTCCAAGAACTCCAGAGGCTGCCTGAAGCCTTGGAGAGTACTGAATGCTATATATACAATGTTTTTCTATGCATACATACCTCTAATAAAGTTTAATTTTTCTGAGGGGAGGGGAGGCAATGGGGTTTAGACTCAGCCTCACACTTGCTAGGCAGCCGCTCAACCACTTGAGCCACACCTCCAACTCACGTTTAACTTTCTATTAGGCACAGTAAGAGACTGACAACAACAGAACAATTCTAACAATTTGTGCAGTAACAGGTATGTGGATGTGGTCTCTCTGAATCTTACGGTACTGTATTTGCCTTTCTTGTGATGCTCTGAGATGAATGAGGTAGGCATGGTAATACAATGCTGAGAGCTACTTGAACACAGCACTGAGACACCCCATTGGCCAACCTGACATACAGTAAGTGGCAAATGGACAGGCAGCACATAACACACTGTGGATATACTAGACGGGGATAATTTGCATCCCAAGTCAGATGACAAGAGAAGGAGAAGCTTATTTCTTAGATGGACTGGAGTAACTTTTCTTACTCTAAAAGAATGAGTCATCCAGTCACTAATCCCTCTGCTAAAAAGTCAGAGCTCCATGGTGTCCTTCACTGCTGTGACTTTCTTTGGTCAGACTCCCGATTCAGATGCTCCTCTTTCCAAGAGCTGTCAGCCCTGATGCCCTCAAACAGGAGCAAAGGCGCTGGGCAGTGTGGCCAGCCTCTTTAGGCATTAAAGGACACTTCTCAAAAGGACCCTTAGGGAGTTCGCTGCTTCCTCTCTGTGAGATGAGATGAAGTCTGTCACTGCTTTTATGAAAGAATGTGTATTAGCCAGGCAATGGTGGCTCATGCCAGTAATCCTAGCTACTTGGGAGGCTGAGATTGGGAGAATAGCAGTTTGAGGCCAGCCAGGGCAAACAGTTCATAAGAATCCACTTCAAAATAACCAGGACAAATAGACTGGAGGTGTAGCTCAAGCAGTAGAATGGCTGTGCAAGCGTGAAGCCCTGAGTTCAAACCTCAGTCCCACCAAAAAAAAAAAAAAAGAACAAAAGGAAAAAGAAAGAAAAGAGAGAGAGAGAAAAGAAAGAAAAAGAGAAAGAAAGAAAGAAAAAGAGAGAGAGAGAGAAAAATGTGTTGAACAAGGAACAGCCCTTGCCTGGGAAGGCTTGACACTGGTCCCTGTGGTCTGGGAACACAAGTGGCACTGCCACTGTGGAGGACAATACAGTGGCTTCTCCAAAGATTAAACATTTCATTTGGTTATCAAATCATCATATGATCCACACTGGCTGTAAATCTGAAAGAACTGGAAGCAGGGACTTGCACATTGTGCTTATAGCTGTGCTATCCAAGCTTGCTGGGCAGGTACTCTACCACTTAAGCCACTCTACCAGCCCAGTGCTATTCAAAATAGTCCAAAAAAGTGTTCACAAACGGATGAGTGGAACAACAAAATGTGGTACAAACACACAATGAGATGTTATTCAGCCACTCAGGAGGTGTTCCAACACAAGCTACAACATGAGGATACTGTTCAGTAAGTAAAATAAGCCAATATAAAATAACAAGTGTTGTATGTTTCCACTTATATGAGGTCCCTAGCATAGACAGAAAATGGAAATGGTTGCTAGGGATTGGAGAGAGGGAAGAAGGGGAAGGTACTGTCTCATGGGTATAAAGTTTA